TCTTAGGAGAAAAGTATCTCATTAAATGACTAATGAAAAAGAGGAGGTACTGAAAGGTGAAAGCTGATCTGAGTGATAAGGAGTGTACAGGTTGGAGCATCTCAGTTGTGGAGGCCATTATGATCCAGAGCTTTTGGATAAGGCCTCCCAGTGCAGGTAGTCTGAGAAGGCCTGGGGTGGGGTGATTTGGGGATAGTTAGAAAGCAGGAAGCTAGGTATTCCTATGGGAAGTCTCCTGCAGGCCCAGAAAATTGTCTACTCCCTACCTCACACTCACAGTGCTGCTCTCCAAAACCAAAGATAAGAAACGTTCTGTGCCACTAGCCACTCTCAAATGTCCCTTCTGAAGACTAGAAGATATTTTTTAAGTTGTTGGGGGAAAATGAGCTGCATATGATAGCCCAAGATGCAGTGGATGGGCCAGGTTGGTCACTCTGAGAGGTGGACAAGTTCCATAAAAGCCATCAAAGATTTGCTCAAGTTATGATCTACAGTGACTAAAATTATTGTTTGGCTCCAAAGCAAAGGCCACATAACTCTCTTCTTGTGTCCTCTGAGAGTACTGATGTATAAAATCAGGGAGAGAGGGGCCAGGCGTGCACACTGCATCAGCAAGCCACTGCCATGTGGCTTCATGCCATCATCACTGTCCTTCTTTTTACTGTCAGGAAATTAAGGCTGTTTTCTACATAAGTGAAGTTATTCCTTCAAGTTCTAGGAGTCTTCTTTGTGTTTTAGAAACTTAGCCAATCTTCCAAAAATGCACAATATATACACTTCCCCTGCACTCTTAAGTGAGAATGTTCTTAAAATAAGTTTAATCTTCATTGATGAGAATGTTTCATCACTTTAATCTACTGTTTGCTTCTACAAAGTTACAGCTTTTAGAAGCACAATATAAGAATGTTTATCAAAATCATTTGCAAAACAATAGTAAGTAGGCTTCAAATTTGGACTAAAGTGGCTCTTTGAGTGATAGTCACAAACTTTAGAGAATAGATTTTGTTACCTGCACTTTCCTTTTCCTTCCTACTTGGTACTCAGTGTCCCATAGAAGACCAGTAGCTTGAGAAGAATTTCAGTAAAACTGGCAGTGAGCATCATCCTGGGAAGGTAAGTCCCTGGGTATAAGCTGATTCTGTGGCCCAGATTGCAAGTTTTGACCCTCAACACTGATCACATTACCTGTATTATACATGTCTGTGGAACTGTTCTTTACTTCAGAAAACTTAGCTGTTCGTAATGATATATCCATTTGTGATTATTTGACTGATGTTTGCATCCCCCAATAGACTACAGATCCCAGGAAAGTGGGGACCATGACTGGTTTAACTTACCCCTACACCCCCAGCACCTAGTCTAGTAGGTGCTGCATAATTTTGTGATTAATGACTGAAAGAACACATGTCAAGTCCAGAGCCCAGATTTCTGGTTCCGCTGGTGCTGGCTTGTGCAAACTTGGACAGAACATTTTACCTCCTCGGAGTCTGATACCATATTTGGAGGAGGGTCTTCCACAAGATGGCCACAAAGTGTTCACCACATGAGGCCTTTAATCTACTTAAATATAAGGAAAAGATAGGAGATGCCATGGTTAGAGGATGGTCCAGTAGGGAGCTGCAGGAGAGGCTGCGGCTGGGGTGGTCAGCTGAGTGTCTCCAGCAAATGTCAGGAATGATACCTGGGAGAAATGTGATCTCTCTACAGCCATCTAGACTTTGGAAAAATTGTGAAGGGAAAGAAGTTTCTCACTGAAATGCTCCGTTTCCTTTCTGCATCCCTTTCTCAAATCCCTCCACACACCACCATGCCAGAGACTCCAAGAAATCAGCGTTATCCCATTCTGTCCTGCCTCTAAGAAACTATTGGAATAAACTCATTCACATCTCAGTGCAATTTTAAGAACTTCCTATCACTGAACTCTCCTGTCATCGGGGTTTGCATTTTCCAACGCAACCTGTTTTGGGGAAGGTTTAATTCAATTAATTGACAAAGACTGAACTTCAGGCAAGGTGGGGACTTTTTTTAGCAGTCAAAGAAAGGCTTTCATAAGGCTCCTCAAATCCCACCCAGGGGCCCCACTGTTCTGCCAGCCCCACCTCAATGCCTGGCTCTTAGGAGAGCCAGGGAAATCCTGGTGTGCAATCCCAGTTCCTATATACCACGTGTTCATCAAAATCATCATTTGGGTACCCTACCTCCCAGGATTAGGACTATGGTGAGGCAAGTGAGGCATGTGTCTCAGTAGCAAAATTTAAGGTGACACCAAAAAGCTCAGTAATGAAGATAATATTCTAATGTAACACTTTAAAATCAAAATTAATGCAAAAATTCATGAATAAGATATTAAATTTTAATAAGCCAAAATCAGTATTGTTGTTTTTCTTTTACCTCAGGCTCCAATTTGGCTTGGTTGGTCGCTTCTGACTCTCACTGCCTCCCATTCTGATGAAACACAACTGTGAGTGCACACAATGTGCAAACGAGGCCCATTTTTGCTGGTTGCATCACTGTGCGCTGGGGGAGGACTGTCTGGTGAGCACCCAGGGCTCAGGCCAAGGTAGCAGCCATCCATGAACTGGCAGGGAACCCTGGAGACACTTTCATCTGACACTGGTTTGCAGAATGAGCCCTGGAGGGACAGTTCTCAAAGGCCAAGAAAGAGGTTCTTGCTTCAACGTAGCAATGCTGTCCTCTGTTGAAACCGTTACTGTTCTGCACACAGACATGTCAGAGCCATGTACAGGGTTTCCACATTTCTCCTGGCACCCATTCCACCCAGCATACTAAAGTCAGGATCCCCGCCATGAAACAGAGAGATGCTTCATTTCCTGGTCCACCAAACACCCCTGTCATGATAAACTCCATAGACAAACATGATAGTTTTCTATCACTTAAGGATCAAATGCACTGAGCTATTTCTCTTTGAGAGACCATGATAAATCGTAACAGGGAAGGCTCTGTGTTCTGAGAAACTTTTAGTGATTCCTGAGGACCTACCTGCCCTCCCCCACAACCCCCCCACTTTCCCCCAAGAGGTGCGGAGGAAGTATCTCATCAATGCTGTTAAGTCAGGCTGCTGTCAGGGTTCCAGCTCCTCTGCTACTGTAGCCAGGAGGAGAATGCCTAAGAAGGAATGTTCCTTAAGTGAATGGCAGGATATTTTTGGAATGGAAATTAATCCTTTTTGAATATGAATGATGAAAGGTGGTCACTCTTGAACTGAGTACCGATATTGTATAACAGCTGTGGCCAGATCAGAACGTTGGAGCCTGATGATATTGGGGAGGCAGGCAGGGTGGACCTCAGGCTTCCAGGGAGTGATATTCCTCCAGCCTCATTGTGCCCCACCACAGTCCCAATATCCATCCTTGGTCATCTCCACTGTCCTTTGATAAGACATTGAGGACTAAGTTTAGCAATAATCTCTAAAAATTATTTTTCCATTTTACTAGAAGATTCTTGATTAATAAGAATTTTAAGGTAGCTCTAAAGATAATGTATCAGCCATTTGTAGTGGGCAATAGGAAGATATTTCATGGCTGAAGAGCCTGTGAAACTAACCCTGTTTTAATAGGTCGGATGTCCACATACCAGATAATGAGCTCAAAATAGATAGCAAAAACGCTAAGCTTAACTAAATGGCTGGTTTCATCTCCAGTGTATTTGCATCAGAGCTATGAAAATGAGAGGCTGGAAACACTCTCAGAGGACAGGGCTTGCTTGTATATGCGGGATTTTGCTCTTGGTAGTCCCTCTTTGGAATATTTTCCCCCAGATTTCCCCAGAGTAGTAGGGAAAATAATGCCCTCCCCTACCCCATATATGTTCGCATCCTAATTCCCAGAACCTGTGAACATGTTAGGCTTCACGGCAAGGAGAAACAAAATTGCAGATAGAATTAAGGTTGCTAAATAGCTGACTTTGAGATGGAGATAGAAAGAGTATCCTGGATTACCCAGGTGGGCCCAATGTAATCACAAGGATCCTTACAAGTGGAAGAGGGAAGCAGGAAAGGGAACTGGAGAGATCCAATGTGAGTACAACTCGGCCTGACATTGCTGGCTTTGAAGGTGGAGGAATCGGGACCCAAGTCAAGGAATATGGGCAGCCTCTAAAACTGGAAAAGGCAAAAAAACTAATAACTGATGCTTTCTTAGAGCCTCTAGGAGAAATGACGCCATATCAACACCTAGCTTTCAGCCCAGGAAGACCCACTTTGGGCTTCTGAGCTCAAGAGCCATAAGATAATAAATTTGTGTTGTTTTAAGCCACTGTTTGTGGTAATTTGTTATAGCAGCCGTAGGAAACAACTACACCTCCTTATCATTTTATCTAAGTTCAAATGTCATCTTTTTTTGACATCTATCACCTGCTAAATTATTTCAACATGCTCAGGCATTCTCTGTAACACTTTTATTTTCATTTACTTATGGTTATTTAAAATTATTTTATTTATGTATTTATCCTCACAAGAATATAAATTCTAGGAGGGTAGGGAACTTGCTCTTTTCATCTGTGCATCTCCATTGCTTAGGATACCACTACATGGTAGGCATTCAATAAATATTTGTTGTATAAATGAGCATTAAGCTAATGAGGACCATAACACTCTTGCCACTGCAGAATCACAAGTAGGGGCAAGCTGTTAGAAGAGTCCGATGTTTGGTAGGTGCTGTGTTGCAAGGAAGTGCCCAAGAGAGAACAAGAACAGAAACAGAACTAGCAAATAGGCAATCAGTTGCTTACTTTCAGGTAGTGGAGGCAGAAAGCTTAAATAGTTAAGTACTATCCCAGGGCAACTGCAGACCAGAGTCCTTTGTGATTGCCAAGAAGTAACCAGCTTGGGAAGACTAGAGAGGGTGAAAAGGTATGCGATTAACTCAGGTTACATAAATATTGGGTAACCACAGGGGTCGTACATATAAAAAATGCTTCGAAATGAGGAAGGAACACACGAGTAGTAAGACTGTGTTCTTTTTTTACTGATGGACCAATTCTTGGATGGAATCTCTAAAGATTATCATGTTCAGCTGAAGACTGCAGTGTTGATAAACTCGCCAGTTTTCCTAGTCTGAAATACATACAGCGAGTTCCTAAAAAGACAGAAACTGGTTGGCCTCAAGGGAGGCAGGATCCGCCTCGCCCAGTGAGGGAGGCTGTGCTGACGCGTCCTCAGTGCCCTGTTGTCAACACCCTGGGAAGTGTCTGCAGAATCAGCGGCCCGCCGAGCTGGCTGGTGCTCTTCCAGGGCTGCGCGAGTTTCCCCACAGCGGACTCTGAGCCGGGTGAAGACAGACGTGCCTGCCCAGAGGGGCCCTAGTTGCCCTACACTCAGCCAGCCAATAGCCCTGATACTTGGGCGGGACCTCGGAGTACCGGGCCAATGGGAGTGCGGCAGGGCAAGGGGGCGAGCCTGATAGCGGGGCTGCGGCGTTTCGCAGGCCATGTGGGACCCTCGCGGAGCTGAGGCGTGCGCGGCGGCGCTGGGCGGCGCGGTCCTCTTGCTGCTCTTCGCGCTGGGGGTCCGCCAGCTGCTGAAGCAGAGGCGGCCGACGGGCTTCCCCCCGGGGCCGTCGGGGCTGCCATTTATAGGCAACATCTACTCGCTGGCCGCCTCAGCCGAGCTCCCCCATGTCTACATGAGAAAGCAGAGCCAGGTGTACGGCGAGGTACAGCCCGTCGGGCCGCAGGCAGGGAGGGCCCGGCCTTTCCTCCCGGGTGGGCTGACTGCCGCTCCTGGCCCGGAGCTGTCCGGACGCCTCTCCAAGTGCCTGGGGTTTCGGGGGAAATCCGCTTCCTGGGTCAGGAGGCTGTCTTTGACGCCGCGCCCCCGCCCGGGAAGCCCCGCCCTACCGGGACCACCACCCGCCCGACGCCCCGCGAGAATCCTACCGCCCCCGAGAGCGCCGAGGTCGTGCTCCCGCGCCTGCGCAGTGGGGCTCGGGGCGTCGGAGGGCGCCGAGGTCGTGCTCTCGCGCCCGCGCAGTGGGGCTCGGGGCCGAGTTGGCCGCTACGTCGGGCTTAGGGTCGCTACCCTCAGGGGAATGATTTTGTGCCCCGTTTCTGGGCTCCGCATACGTTAGGTTCCAAACCACGGCTTCCAGGGCAAAGTGGGCATCCGAATTATAGGACCCAGTTAATAAGTAATAGGAAGTTATTGGATGTTTGCATTTGAGAAAGGCTGATCTAGGCGTTTGCTGTGAGGATTAGAAAGCACCCGTGAAGGCCCTGACCAAGATGTGGGCTCTAGTAAATGACTGTGAAAGAGAGAATGAATTAATGACTAAAAGTCGTTGCGAGGTCCTATAGCGCAGAGTGAGCAATGTCGTCCTCATAGCAAACCCTGAGACTGCGCCTGTTGCGGGCCAGTCTCCCTTCCAACATGGACTAGGTTACACATCAGCCCTAAAATGGGGGAGGACCAGGGGAGGAAACTGCACCCGGAAATGCCCAGTGACGTGCAGGCAGCCATACCGTTGCTAACTGACTGGGGGAAAGGCCAGAGCACAAGTTGTGTTTGGAAGAGTGTCCTGACCTCAGGAAGAGGCAGAAGTTTCCAGAGCACTGGCACTGACCGAACTCACCTGTTTTGAGTCCATTCATTTATGTGCAACAACAAACCAGGCTCTTGCCAGGTGCTGGGGATGAAGAGGTGAAGAAGGCAGACAAAGTAGGGTTTCAGGGAGTTACAGCCTAGTGAGGGGGAAAATTATCAGCTACAAACTGGTGAGTGCCTTGAAGGAAAAGTACAGCAGGGCTGTTTGGCAACTGTATTTCTGGTTGGGATTTAAATCCTCATTTAAACCAGTTTTTACAAGAGTTACTCCAGGCTTTTGCAGCTCTCTAGTGGTTTACACTGTTAAAGGGAAACTGGACTTAGATAAAGAAAATATATATAATTCTTAGGTTTTCTTTTCCATCCTTCAGTTCTCCACGATTAGAGTATATTGCCATGCTTTCCATTCTGGTGTGTTGGTACAAAGCATCATACTATTCTAGAGAAATCATAGTAAAAGCATGAGACTAGAGGTTGAGTCCTCTTTCATCAGATAAAACTTGACCTTTACTTCTCTGAGTCTTAATTTTTTCATATGTATAATGAGAATAATAACTGGAAACAAGTGCAACTCAAATATTGGTTATTAATTACAGAACAATTTATTAGGCCTACAAATTAAAAAGTATTTTAAACCAATTTTGCAAAATGGTGTCTTGCAGAACAGGAAATTGTTTTTCATCTATAAATATGAAAGGAATACTGTATTTACAATGAATAGTCTTCCCTGGAAGGGCGTAATCTAAGTCTCGAATCATTACAAATTCTTGGGTTGTTGGAAAAGTCATGACGCATGTTTGCAACAGATGGCACTAGTTCATTTTTGGAAGTACTAGAGTCATTTGCCTCTATGTTATTGCCATGTCATTTGACAGCTGACAGTTCTAGCTTCATTCTAAAAGAAAAAAATTGAGCATTTGTTTGAGTTTTGGAGATTTTAGAACAAGTCGAAGATGGAAGACAAACTGTGTATTTTTGCCATATTTTACTGTTTTACTTCCATAAAGGGAAGAATGCGCGTCAAGCTTGTGAAAAGTTGCATTAAGTTTACGGTGACAATGCTCTACAAGAATGTCAGTGCCAACAATGGTTCACAAAATTCAGTGCTGGTGATTTTGATCTCAACGGTGCTCCTTGGTCAGGGAGGCCCGCCGAGATTAATGACAACAAAATAAAGGCATTGATTGAGTCAAACCCACGTTACACGACACGAGAGATTGCAGGAACATTGAACATCCATTATTCAAGTGTTCACAGCCACCTGAAGAATCTGGGATACATAAGCAAGCTCGATATTTGGGTTCCGTATGAACAAGAAGTTCATTTGACGACATGAATAAACATCTGCAATATGCTCATTAAAAGTGAGGAAAACGATCCTTTTTTGAAGCGATTGATAACTGGTGATGAGAAGTGGATTGTTTACAACAATGTGGTGTGCAAACAGCCTTGGTCCCAACATGATGATTCGCCTCAAACAACATCGAAAGCAGACATTCATCAGATGAAGGTTATGCTCTCAGTGTGGTGGGATTTTTGAGCTCCTACCAAGGAACCAAACAATTCGAATGTGTGCTGTCAGCAATGGGACAGTTTGAACGAATCCATCATCCAGAAACCCTCAGAGCTTGTTAATTGTAAAGGAGACAACATGAGACCACACACAAGTTTGATCACCTGTCAAAAATTGGAGCTTGGATGGGGTGTGTTGCCACACCCACCATACTCGCCTGACCATGTGCCGTCAGACATCCACTTGTTTTGCTCTCTTCAAAAATCCTTGTGTGGTATAACGTTCAGTTCAGATGAGGCTGTAAATCAGCACCTTGTTCAGTTTTTTGCAAATAAAGACAGGTCCTTGTATGAATGAGGAATTATGAAGCTCACTGAAAGATGGCAAAAGGTTATCGAACAAAATGGGCAATATATCATTGATCTTTGTTCTTTGTATAAATAAATGACCTTTGAAAAACATAGACAAAATACATCATGACTTTTCCGAAAACTCAATAGAAACATGCTGGAAAACTGTCATTTTGAAAGAGGTAAATTTGGTTCAGTGGAATTGGTTCAGAATTTGGCATCACTGTATTGCTGGTTGAGCTATTTGAGGCAAACCAGGGTTTTTTACGAAGAGAACTCTACTGGTGGTGGAAAATTGAACTGTTATTAGGTGTAAGAGGGGTAAAGGAAAAAGAGAAAAGAGAAAAAACGAAAAGGATGTATGCATTGAAGAGTAGATACTGTTTGCCTGATTCTGCCTTAGACTTAAGTTGAAAACCACCTAACATTTTAACTCTTTAAACTATGGCTGCATTTGATCTTTATCTTAGTTGTGAAAAACCCTAAAATCTCCCATTTTCTTAGAGGCATTTCCAATTCTGACAAAGTCTTGAAGTTAGTATAAGCTGTTAATATACTATATAGGTATACTATACTATACCTATTTTGGAAGCAGGAGGAAACTTATCTCCTGTACTTCTGGAAGATTGTGGAGAGTTGTTTATAGGGCTTATTTGTCAAAAGAATCTTATTTTTCCACTATCTTACTTTATCATTTGGAGATGCGTGCTCACAGCAAAAAACCTGGACTTAAAAATTGCTTATGAGAAATGACAATCATTTCAAGTGACACCTACTTTTATGAAGTCTGTGAATTCAATTCTCCTTTATAATTCTTGAAAGAAGACAACCAGTCCTCAGGTCTTACACATTTGTTTTAAAGGCAATCTTAAATAGAAACATAGCACATCAAGAATTACCATTTCCTTGGAGATTCACTCTGAATGTACAAGCTTCTGCAGTGATTTTAAACTTAATTCAAATTTCAAGAAGCACTCCCTAGATATTAATAGTAAAGCTAGTACAAGTAGTTTTTGCAGATTTTTTTCAGGTAATGCATGTAAGGACAATAAAATAATTAAGCAAGTGGATTTGACAATGGATTTATAAAGTAAGCATTTATTGAGACATTTGTGCAAGGCACTGAACAAGAGTCTATTGAGGGTTCAAAGATAAAAGAAATAAAAATCATTGATTCTAAGGAGTTTATTATTTAGCAGGCAAACAAGACAAGAATATGAATGTTTTTGGTTCAAGGTAGTAGATGCTAGTTCAAGTAACCGTTTCCTCAGTTTTACCCTCAAATAGAGGAACATCTCAAATTTTTGAGTACAGGTGAATTGGATAATAACTTTCTCAAGCCATGGCTCCTCCTTGGATTTTGCAATCCCTAGTGTCCACAGCTTGACACCTACCCTGAAATATTACTCCCATTTGTTCTCCATATTAACACAACTTTCAATCCCACGGTCTTTTACCGTCCTTGTGAAATCATCAGTCTGTTTTTTTTTCCTGCAGCAAGACCACTAATGCCATCATTTTATTATCTCTGCTATGATATTGTGACTTATAATTTCTAATATATATATATATATATTAGGTCTTTAGTCCCTTTTCTGGGACATTTCTCCTAAAACCCTTGGAATTTCGTAAGAGTGATAAAGATGTCTTTTGTTATTCATCACAAGCCCCTTTCAACTACACCTGAGTTTATGATAATGAGGTAATTTTTGGAACATCCCAAAGAACGGGAGCTTGTTTTCAGGAGAACCAATCAGGATTAGAGTGTTGGAACTTTCCGTCTTAACCACCACCATGCCACCCCCTTACCTCTGGGGAAGAGAGAGGTTTAATCAGTCACCAATGGCCAGTGATTTAATTGATCATGCCTAGCTAATAAAGCCTCCATAAAAATCCCTGAATTACAGGGTTCAGAGAGCTTCCATATTGGTGAACAAGTGGAGGTAAACGGAGAGTAGCATACCTGGAGAGGGCATGGAAGCTTCACACCCCTCTTCCCATACCTTGCCCTGTGCATCTCTTTCATACTGCTGTTCCTGAGTTGTGCCCTTTTGTGATACCAGTAATCTAGTAAGCAAAATATTTTCCTGAATTCTGTGAGTCACTCACAGAATTAATCAAACCCAAGGAGGAGTTTGGAGGAACCTATGATTTACAGCCTGTTGGTGAGAAGCACAGGCAACAACCTAGGCTTGTGATTGACATCTGAAGTGGGAGAAAAACCTTGTAGCACCAAGCCCTCAACCTGTGGAATCAAGCACTATCTTCAGGTAGATAGTGTCAGAATTGAGTTGAATTTTAGGACACCCAGCTAGTGTACCATAATTGTTTGATGTGTGGAAAACCCACACATCTGGCGTCAGAAGTATAGTAGAGTATTGAAAGTAGAAGAGACACCTAGGAGGAAGAGTTTTTCCTTTATATCTGCTACAATTATACTTCTAAGAAAAGACTTCATTTTAAGACCATTCCATTACTGCTTTGGGAGCTAAAAGAGTCCCACCTTTGCTCCACTGAACTCTTACACTGCCACGTTTAATACCACTGCTTGTGGCAGGCAGTCCATGCTCCTTCCCCAAAGGTTCTGAAAGTACCTACTGCTCAGTTGGCATGGCCCATCCTTGTGCCAAAGACCCCATTGCTCAGTTAGTTGATTCTGTCACTACTTGGAGGTCTTTATCACTATTGCTGCTGTAACTACTTCTGCTGTACTTCTGTTCTCCCAAGCCTCCTGTTTTTTAATAAGTAGTATGAACCATGCTAAACCATGCTGTCTACCTTTGCACAGAGATGAAGCTTAGCTCAGTATTTTAGCTCTAAAACGCTCTCAGCCAACTCCAGAGAGGATGGGAAAAAACAATCTTTGCATCCCATTGATAAGGTAGCATTATTCCCTCAACGAACTAGGCCCTAACAGGCCTAGGGAGAATAGACTGTAAGAGGTATGACATTGTAAGTAAACCTGAGGTGAAGCACACGAGAGGCTCTAGCAAGGCGTAGCATGGATATTCTGTCTTGCTTTCCCCTCAGCTGAGGGTAAGTCACCTGTGCCTATGTGGTGAATGCTGTTAAAAGGAGACAGCAGGCTCAAAATGGAGTCACTTGCGCTAAACTCCATGTCAGCAAACCAAGACAATACCTAACCTAACTGCAGTTTCAACTTCCTCCAGGACTGTAACTTTGATCAAACAACCTGAAATTACCTACCTGGTCAGCACTAGTTAGGTAATCTGCCTGATAGGCCCCTTCCTTTCCCTAAGGAGAGTAACCTTGCCTGAAACAATGAACATTCTTTGCTAATAATTTCCATTTCTCTCCCCTTCTCTGCCTTTAAAACCTTTCCTTTTCTATAGCTCTTTGTAGCGTCTTTGTACTTGCTAGATGGGATGCTGCCCAATTCATTCAATAAAGCCAATTAGATCTTCAGATTTACTCGGTTGAATTTTTGTTATTTAACAGTGCCTTTCTTACTAGGTGATATTTCCTTAGGGCCCTTTTTGTTAGCTCCATGGGATTCGGGCACCCAAATACAAATAAGCATAGTAGTTATAATTTGTTTATACTTCAAAGTTGTCTCTCAGGCCTTTGACAATTCCCTTGTCTACCAAATCATGGAGTAATAAATGATATGTAGATGAGGCAGCTTCCCCATTCATCTTGGAAATAAAAATAAATTCCTAGATATCACTGAATGTTTTGAATTGGAACAAATCTTTGAAGAGCATCTAAATCAAGTACCATATTTTCTATAACAAACCTGAGGCCCCAAAATGTTTAGGGTTCTGCACTGGGTCCTATCTATGTTTAATGCAAAGCTTAAGCTAGAACCCAGGCCTTCTGAGTCCAGTACTTTTTCCTTATATGTCTTTAGGCACTGAATGCATAATGAAATCATAGTGTTTGGCATGCCTTGTCGAGAGAAGGCACTCTAAACGTTGTCAGTTGTGTAATAAGTGCCTACATTTTCAGGGAAGTAACAAATACTGGGAGAACTGGGCTTCACATGTGGATTTCTATGGTTATATTTCTCCGTACATTTTGTCATTTAAATTTTGTTTGTCTTTTCTTCTCAAAGATCTTCAGTTTAGATCTTGGAGGTATATCAACTGTGGTTCTAAATGGCTATGATGTAGTAAAGGAATGCCTTGTTCATCAAAGTGAAATTTTTGCAGATAGACCATGCCTTCCTTTATTCATGAAGATGACAAAAATGGGAGGTATGTTTATTTTCACCTATTTCATAATTTACTAAACTATTTGAAATTATATTTCTTATTTTATGTAAATTTAAAAAAAATTGCACTTAGGAGTTGGATTCTATTGTACTGATTAACAGCAAAGTATTAATTAATTAATTAAGGTTACAGACCCTAATATTTGAGGACTTTTTAGGCAGCATTACACTCATATTTTAGACTAGTACATACTAATTCTACTGTTGTAATTCAGTTCTAATAAAAGTTGTAAATAACGTTTTAAAGGATTAGCACTTTATCTGCAGGTTTTGTGAAACAAGTTAGCAATACACACATGTACATGTACACTTGAATCAGAAGTGCCTTTTGAAGCCATCCTTGAGTACTTGGTGACATTTTTACTATTTTGCTTATAAGATTATAGAACCTGAAGTAGCTGTTCTTAACTACTAATCAATATGATATGTAAATGAAGGATTGTGGTATTGGTTGAAGGCCTAAGATTCTATATGGTTAGGTGTTGATCAGTATTGGATGATTCTATACTCAACAAAGGAGAAAAGCTGAAACTTGACAGAATTGTTGAGAAGAAAGCAGCAACAGAAACTAAAATAGAATGCTGAAGTCAGATACAATGGTTTTGAAATAGTATAAGAGTTTTTACAATAATGGTGTCCCATTCTCCAACTTAATGAGAGCTTCACATTTAATTTCAAAGAAAAATTTAACAATATCTTGCTTACATAGACTAAAAAGACATTGATTGAAAATAAAAAAAGAAAAATCATATATTACATCACAAAACACATTAACTAATGCAAAGAAATCATCAGTTTTTATGGTCAAATTCTTAGTCCAGAGTATAATGATACTTGAAAACAATAATATAAATAAAAACCAAATCTCTAGCCTCTGAGTTAATCTTCTAAATAATTAGGCAAAAGAAGAAATTATACCACAATTACAATAGAAGACCTTTAACAAAATTATGAAAAGGAAAGATGATGTGATCAGAGTAATATTTGAGGTAAAGTATATATTATATACTTTTCAAAGCTATAAACTTATAGTTTAGACTTTTTATTATAAAGAAAGAGAAAATAAGCATTCAACTTAGGATTTTCAAAAAACTGTAAGAGAAAAATAGGTAGACAACTATATGTATTTTAAGATACAGATACAATGAAGTTGGAACTCAGAAATCAGAGCCACCACTAGCCCAATGTTTGGGAAAACATTGCCCAAGCATACATCTTGGCCAGTGTAGGGTAATAACAAGGTTCCTGTGTACCTTCTTGTACATATGTCCCATATTCTTATATTTCCCTAGGGTTTGCTCTCATCTCTGTGCTTTTGCATTAGGTGTTCCCTCTGCCAGGAGTGATCTTTGCCCAGATATCTGCTTGACTTACTCTCTTATCTCCCATGTACGCCACCTTCTCAGTGAGGCTTTCCTTGACCACCCTATATCTCCTTCCTTGCTATATAATTTATTCATTTGCCTCTCCTCACTGGTTTATTAAGGTTTATAAGAGTAGGATCTTTGCCTTTTGTGTCCACTGATATATCTGTGACACTTAGAACACAGTTGCTCCATAAATACATGTTGAATGAATATTGTTGAGTGAATAGTCACCTGGGAGTATAGAAAAGAGAATGAAATATGGAAATATAAGATTGCTGCACAGCACTAAAGATGGCCTTATATATGGCTAATTTATCATAAGCTCCAAATTAAAAAAAAAGTTGTTGCACAAAATTTGTTGGACTGTAAATTACATAGGTACCTCATGTAGAAAAGAGAACGTGACATTTGTCCTGGCTTGTAGACATATGCCTTCTTCCTGTATCCTCACAGGACTGAGAGCAATCACCTCTTCTCGTGTCCCTTCTTATAAGGGCACATATCCCATTTACATATGAGGGCTCCACCCTCCATGACCTCATTACCTCCCAAAGGCCCCACCTCCTACTATCATTATATTGGGGGTTAGGCTTCAACATATGAATTTTGTTGGGATACAAACATTCAGTCCATAATATTCTCCTTTTGGCTTGAGTACTTCAACTACATTGACAGCTCATTCAGGCCACCCTTGCCTCTACTAGAGTTAACTTGTTAGGTTAACATATGCTTTTAACAGTAGGGTATTTGTGTTAAAAAATCTAGTCTCTTAAAGCAGAAAATTTCTAATTCTAGAAGTATGCTTTTCAGTGTTTGTTCAGTCCAAAATACAGTTTTGCCCATAGAAATGCAGTCATTTGTCTTTTGTAAATTAGGCTTATAGTAAAAGTTGGATAATAAAATCACCTGGGCCTAGTTCTCCCAAATTGAATTACACAAGACTTTCCAGTTTCTTGTGGCAGGAGAATTATGGGTCTTTTCTGCCTATCCCAGGTGAGAAGTACACAAGCTTTATATGTTTATAATATTCTATGGCTAATAAGTAGTGGAGAACAGGGCTTATCCACTGGGTCTAGTTTTACTTTTATAGAAAGATACTTTGAAGAAGAATGATTAACCATCTTTTTTCTCCATAGCAGTTTCAGCTCTTAGATACAGGAATGTAGGAATGATAAACATTTTTAATATTTTTTTTCAGGCTTACTTAATGCCAGATATGGCCGAGGATGGGTTGATCACAGAAGATTAGCTGTAAACAGCTTTCGCTATTTTGGATATGGCCAAAAGTCTTTTGAATCTAAAATCTTAGAAGAAACCCAATTTTTCATTGATGCTGTTGAAACATACAAAGGTAGACCTTTTGACTTGAAACAATTAATAACAAATGCTGTTTCAAACATAACCAACCTGATCATTTTTGGAGAACGATTCACTTATGAAGACACTGATTTTCAGCACATGATTGAGTTATTCAGTGAGAATGTGGAGCTTGCTGCCAGTGCCTCAGTCTTCCTGTATAATGCCTTTCCATGGATTGGCATCTTACCTTTTGGAAAACATCAACAGCTGTTTAGAAATGCAGCTGTGGTCTATGATTTCCTCTCCAGGCTTACTGAAAAAGCTTCTGTCAACAGAAAACCTCAGTTACCTCGGCATTTTGTTGATGCTTATTTAGACGAGATGGATCGAGGTCAAAATGACCCATCATCTACTTTCTCCAAAGAAAACCTAATTTTCTCTGTGGGTGAACTCATCATTGCTGGGACCGAAACTACGACCAATGTGCTACGGTGGGCAATTCTTTTCATGGCCCTTTATCCTAACATTCAAGGTAAGTATTCTCTTGATCTCAAGGTCTGTCCTTACATTTAAGGCTCACACGTGTTTTAGAGTCTTTGGCCACATACAAAGCATTTTTTATTTAGGAACTCCTGCTGTGCTAGCCAAGAAGAAAAGTGTTTAATAGTTATAAAGAGTTTCCAAATCTATTATTTCAATTCATGTGAAAACCTCAGAAATAGGTCTTACAATGCTTATTTTGTAAATAAGGAAAAGGGCTAAGTGACTGATATGCCCAAGCTCAGCCATTGGAAGTGGCAGACCTGGGACCTGAACCGTGGTTGTTTTAATTCAAGTTTTACGCTATTTTCCTTGCTGAGAGTGAGATGTTATTCCAATTTTAGTTTTGTTTGTTTTTTATCTATATTACTTTTAATGTGGTTTTCGCAATATACGGTAGTTACTCAGAGCATTGGCTACTGGTAGAGTATAAGATATATAGCCTATATTTAAATAGAACTCCCAGATAATGAAAGATCCTAATCTGGGTGTACCCATACCTTACAGGTTATCCTTTGTTTTATCCCAAAGGGAAATTACTTTAGATATAATGTTTAAGCATTGCATAATAACTCGAACACTTTTTCTCTAACAGGACAAGTTCAGAAAGAGATTGATTTAATTATGGGACCCAGTGGGAAGCCTTCTTGGGACAACAAATGCAAAATGCCTTATACTGAGGCGGTTTTGCATGAAGTTTTAAGATTCTGTAATGTTGTGCCTTTAGGAATTTTCCACGCAACCTCTGAAGATGCAGTTGTACGTGGTTATTCCATTCCTAAAGGCACAACAGTAATTACAAATCTCTATTCTGTGCACTTTGATGAGAAGTACTGGCGAGACCCAGAAATATTCTATCCTGAGCGATTTCTGGACAGCAGTGGATATTTTTCCAAGAAGGAAGCTTTGGTTCCATTTTCCCTAGGTAAGAGAATTTTTACAAGGGCATAACTTTAGGACAAAGTATAATGATAAAGATGATTCATCAGTATAACATCTTAATCTGAAGCATCCTGTTGTAGAATTTAATATTCTAACTCTGAAAATATAGCATTAATTCTTACAGTAGAGAACAGTTTAATTAGAGGTCATTAACACCCATTTCTACTCAGAATAAACATGCCTTAATTTAGTAACTAGAGAGAAACTGTTGAAAAGCTCTGGCTTCTTCTGAAACTTTTTTGTGGGTGGATTCTTGACTTGTAATAAAAACTCCTAGAGCTAGAAGGTCAATAACAAGTAGCTTGAGAAATGAGACCCAGGGAGGGGGAACAACATCATAATGTGAAGTGAAACTAGAATCTAGCTCTCTTAGCTCCCTGTTTATTATACCTCATCTCCAAAAATACTGCTTCTGCTGTGAAAAAGTACACAGATCACAGGACCCATGGAAGATGGACTGGAAACGCTTCCTTTCATGAGAAGGGTACACATTTGTCATTTGAAATGAAATGGTCTCCTCTTGAATCTATACAACAAAATGTCACACTTCAAATTAGATCTCTCATGGAGTACCTTAGGCTCTGTTGCAATGTGCAAGGGAAGTGGGGGATGGACTAAGAAGTTTACAAAAGTCCATGATTTGACAAAAGAAGATAAAGAAATGGGTTCTGAGAGATGAAAAGACAATTTCCATGGCATTAAGAAAATTTTTTTTTTAAGATTTTTATTGGGGACTTGGGGGAGGGGAACAGCGCTGGGGAATTTTGGAGAAGGGGAACAGATAAGTTGCTGTTCTTTTGTTCTTCAGTCTTTAGTTGTGGAGGATGTTGCTTCACTGGCCCAACTTGGCACCATCATTACGCTCTTCCCGGGTGAGGCAGATCAGTCACCAGCTTCTGGATGGCCACTCACAGCGGCTGCTGGCCACAAATGGTAGCCCATGGCAACCCACTGCAGCAGGGGCTGCAGCCTACGCCAGCGACTCACAGCAGCCCAGCTCCAGGTTGAGCTGTTGTTCAGCATCTTAGCTGTAGATGGCAGTGTCATTGGCCCTCATATGTGGGATCCAAACCGGGGCCCTCTGGCATCCCAAGCCAGCTCTTTACCAATGTGCCACTCAGCCGGCCCAAGAAAATTCTTTAATCAGATCAACTGCTTCTAACTTTCTTTAAATTCCAGATTTCCTGAATGGCACCCACATATTAGACATAACTCTTGGTAATTATTGTGAATTTAAAAAAATTATTATGTATGTTTTTCCTGTTTAGGAAGAAGACATTGTGTTGGAGAACAGCTGGCTCGGATGGAAATGTTCCTGTTTTTTACAGCATTGCTTCAGCGGTTTCACTTGCATTTTCCACATGAACTGGTTCCAAATCTGAAGCCCAGGTTAGGCATGACATTGCAACCCCAGCCCTACCTCATCTGTGTGGAAAGACGCTGAAAGTCCATGGATGTTTTATGGAACAAGACTGTATGTTTGCCTCACCCCTGAACCTTTTTTAATCTAATCAGTGTGTTTTGGGACAAAAGTCACAGCATTATAAAGAAATTTAACACAGATGCGTCTTGAAAAACAATATTAAAGCAATAATAGGCATCAGCTGTGATTTTTTTCAAGATTTTATGACTTCTAAGGTAGAATTATCTGTTGAGGAAAACAAAGGTGCAAATGATAAGTGTTGCTTAAGATACTAAGATATGTCATGGATGCCTTAAGCAGAGCCTGACTTTTCTATTGAGTACCAGGTACCCCTCATCCCTTCTTGACTCCATCTTGCTGCTGTTCTGGGGGCTTTGCTTCCAAATGTCAGTGCCAGCTGCCTTCTGATCAGGTATTGTCATTAATTGTTTATGTGGTACTAGGCCAGTTAAATGAAGGACTAAAGAAGAAATTAGAACCTAAATAAATAAATGACTTTGGACTTTAGATATTTTAGACATGGTGGCAAATGAAAGAAGATATATATAGGGGGCCGGCCAAGTGGCTCAGTTGGTTAAGAGCTCACTCAAGAGTTTGAGCTCTGAGCAACAGTGGTTCGATGCCCGGCCCGAGCTGAGCAGCCACTGAGCTGCCAACCAGTGGCAGGAAGGCTCAGCTTAAAAAAAAAAAAAGATATGTATATTATATATATATAATATATATAAATAAGTATATATACTTATATATTCATATATAAAAATATATTAAATATAAATATGTATATTTATATTTAACGTAGAACCTGCCAGTGCTTTCAAATCTTGCTCCCTCTTATGTCGTCATAAGACTTGTCTCATTCTTCTACAGACAAAGGTCCCTATAACCCCTGAGTATCCATTGCCAAAGGAGTTCAATAGATAGGAAATTAAAATAATGTATTTAAAATACAAATGACATGTAACAATTCTTTGTAGCCCCAGACATTTTCCCTAGTACCACTTTTCCCAAAACCCATCTCAGGGCTTAAAGATTAAATTATTTTACCTTTTAGAGTTCTCCAGGCATTTCCTCAGATTACTATTATTGGGTTGTCAGAAAAGTCATGACATATTTTGTCTATGTTTTTCAAAGGTCATTTATTTATATGAAGAACAAAGATCAATCAATGATATATTGCCCGTTTTGTTCGATAACCTTTTGCCATCTTTCAGTGAGCTTCATAATTCCTCGTTCATAGAAGGACCTGTCTTTATGTGTGAAAAACTGAACAAGATGCTGATTTACAGCTTCATCTGAATTGAACATTATACCATGCAAGGAGTTTTGAAGAGAGCAAAACAAGTGGAAGTCTGACGGCGCAAGATCAGGCGAGTATGGTGGGTGTGGCAACACATCCCATCCAAGCTCCAATGATTTTTGACAGGTGATCAAACTTGTGTGTGGTCTCGCGTTGTCGTGATGAAACATAACTCCTTTACAATGAACAAGCTCTGGATGTTTCTGGATGATGGATTCATTCAGACTGTCCTATTGCTGACAGTACACTTTCGAATTGATTGTTTGGTTCCTTGGTAGGAGCTCAAAAAACACGACACCTTTAAAATCCCACCACACTGAG